GGCCTGGACGCTGTGTTGTGGAATGACTCCATCCATGCCCGTGGTGACCCCGTCTTTGAAGGTGCTCAGTGAGGGTTGGACTCCTCTTGTGAAGGCCACAGAAACGCACTTTCCCCTACACTCAAGAACGCCCAGCTGGGCCAGGGTCAAGTCAGCTGTGAGCACCAACACGGGTTCATGTCCCAACAGATCCAGGCACCCACAGGTCCCTCAAACCCTGCCAGGAGCGATCCCTGAGCAAGGCCAGGTCCAAAAGGATGCCAAGAAAATCAGCTAGGAACTGGGGCATGTGGCCACTGCCTACTCATGAGATTAATCCCCAGCTGCACCTGTCCTGCTGGGGGGAACCTGAGGCTTCATTCAGGCCACTTCTACTCTCCTTTGTGCACTGTGACAGAGGAGCAAGGCAGCCGAAAGGACCCAAATCCAGGGAAAAGTGGGACCCCAGAGGAGACAGACCTCCAGCCACCTTCTCTGTCCCGAGTTCCCAAGCGGCAGAGGCTCCCAGGCTGTTGGATATTAACCAAAGTGTGTCAGGTTTTAGTGAATTGCCCCTTGACCTCCTCCCAGAGAAGCTTACAGTGCTCTGGTGAGCACCCCTAATGCCTTGAGTTGATCTCTCCCCTTTCCCTGTAGTACTTACTAAGTCAAATCCTTCTGGAGACTCTAGACTGGGAAGTGAACTATTTGCATTTCTCCTTCCCATAGAGACTTTTCAGATCTTACTACAGAGCAGTGCTCTTTGCTTAAACACAGAGAGACTGTTAATGCTGTGCTGCTGGTATTTGGGAGTTGGTTGGCTCTGAGATAGATCTTGGCCATCGTTATAATTCTGTGACTCAGGGCTTTGTTTCTGTAGTTAATAAAACACCACACAAATATAGGTCTTCTGTTGGACTGGGATGGACCCAGGGCGAGTAGTGAAGCGACCAGGGCATCAAAATGGGACAATCCAGAAAGCCTAAAAGCACGAACTGATGCAAACCATTGTGACTTAAGAGACAGGAGCCCCGTGGGAAAGGAAGGACTAAACTAGGCCTGAGGAGCTACCTGGATTTTCCGAGAAGCCCAGCAGCCTTGCCCATGAAGCCCAGAGAAATAAGTTTTGGAATCAGTATTTTTCCCTGTGTTTCTCCAAATACCTGCAAGTTTTAAATAAACGTAAGTGGTTCAATGTACTAGTAGCTGGGAAAAGGGAAAAGCAATGGAATACCTGTACCTCCAGGAAGCAGAGCGGCTCCTTGAGTTGATTGCCCCAAGGGAATTATCTCTGCAGAAAACTTGACCCATTTACCTCTAAATGATCAGCCACACCTACGTGCATCTGATACCTGAACTCTTAGATGTTCTATGCGTGTGCCAGCAGCTCTGCCTAAACGGGCCTCTTTGACCATCAGTCTGTGGCCCCCTTCCCTCTGCTGGGGAGGTGGTCCTGGGCCTCCGAATGCATACATCGCCCGCCTATAGTTTGTTTGATCTCTCACAGGGCAACTTCACTGGAGGTCTGAGCCCACACCGGGGGGATGATTCAGAGGTACGCGGGTGCTGGGGCAGGGAGGAACCACAGATTGGTAAAGGCCACGGACGGTTCCTGCCCTTTGGTGCTGCCGCCTGTGGAGGCCCAGGCATGAGAACCCCAGAAGGGCAGGGTGCAGAGACAAGGGTCAGCCGCAATTCTTGCCAGAGAAGATGGCCCTCAGCAGCCTTTTACCTGCCCCAACTCAGCTAGCTCAAGACAGCCTGAGACTGAGGAAAAGGCAAGATCCCAAATGTCCCCACAAACCTCACCGGTTTCCTCTGAAGAGAGCCTCCAGCATAGAGGTACAGGAAGTTTGGATACCTCGCTTATTAGTGGAGTTTGGAGATGGAGGTGCTTTTCCAGAGATCCACGTGGCCCAGGGTCCACTGCCTATGGGACCGAAGAAAAAATGTCAAATGCACTGGCCATTCAGGTGGACACTGAAGGAAATATCAAGTATGATGCAATTGCTCGACAAGGACAGCCCAAAGACAAGGTCATTTACAGCAAGTACCGTGACCTGGTGCCCAAAGAAGCCTCGAAGGCAGATGACCTCCAGAGACTTGATGAAGAAGCCATTCGAGAGGTAACAGAAAAGACCAGATGAGCCTTTGAGAGGTCTGTGTCTCAGAAGCTGGCTGCCTCCATGCCTCCCTGAGCGGCTGAAAAGCGGCTCTTGATAAGTATATCCGATACACTCCAGCTCAGCAAAGAGCGACTTTCAACTCTGGAGACAAACTGAGGATTATTCAGGTGTCGGAAATGCAGAAAGATCCCATGGAGCCTACGAGATTCAAAACAAAGAAGAAAACTCCTTGGGGACCACCTTCTCGTCCTGCACCCATCATGCATTCTCCCAGCCGGAAGATGACTGTGAAGGAGCAACAAGCATGGAAGATTCCTCCTTGTATCTCCAAATGGAAGAAAGCGAGGGGTTACACAGTTCCCTTAGACAAACACCTGGCTGACATTGGAAGGTCAGTGCACACCGTGCAAATCAATGAGAACTTTGCCAGGCTGGCAGAAGCGCTGTACATCGCCAACCGGAAGGCTCGTGAAGCTGTGGAAATGCATGCTCAGGTACAGAGAAAGATGGCACCGAGAGAAAAGAAGAAATGTGAAGAGTCGCTCAGAGAAATGGCCCAGAGAGCCAGGGGCAGGAGAGCTGGTCTCAAAACCCATGTTCTGAAAGAGGATGTAGACACACACAAGAGAGATGAAATCCGGCAGAACAGGAAGACAGAGAGACGGCTTGACCTCAATCTTTCCAGGGCAGCACCCGAGAAAAAATGGCCTAAATTTCATGAGAACTCGGTTACCAGTGAAGTGACTGCACGTGGTGTGGCCAACCCTCGGCCTTCCGATGGTGTTCAGAGGCTCCTGAACCAAACATAGGGGATGGACAGCGGTTTTGCAGAGAGAGAAGATGAAATATACAAAGTTCATGACCAAGCATGGAGAGGTGGCACAGATAGGGCGCCTGACATTTACAGGCCCAGGAAAAATTCAGACAAGAATACGGATGGTGGTGACCTCGAACCCAGAAGAAAGATCCACAGATCTGTTCTCGATAAGGTGTTTTCTGGTTCAGATCATAGGTAGCGAGGCCTAGAGGTACCAGTTCAGTATGTAGAGGATCCTTTTGGCTTGGACATGTTTCTGGAAGAAGTCAAACAGCTCGGTGCCTCTAATAGACTTTCAAATAGCAGTCGACCCAAGGAACATGAGCATGAGGGCAAGAAAGGAAGAAGGGAATAGAGGCGCCTCTCTGGGGGGAATAACTGTGTGACTCAGTGAAGGGACGCAGGTCCCGTAGGGCCACACTTGATCTGGGAGCAACCGGAATAAAAACCAAATCTGCAGTGTCAGAACCCAGGGCTCCTTTTTATTTCGAGAAATAGGGGGTGGCAAACTCTACTGCCACGGTGGTCCCCTACCACACATCCCTGCGACATGGCATGGGGAGGGAATGTGGCCTGTGTGTAATCTCCTTTCCTATTAGTTCAGTGTGTTTTCAACGAAGAATAAAGTTTTCTCTGTTTAAACCATCCTGCTGGTCTTGTGAGGTGTGTGTTTTGGTGATAGGGCGACTCCAGCCATGGTTGTGGGGAGCCTCAGCTCCAGCCAGAGGCAGAACCATCATATGCTCCACCCCGGACCAGTTCCGTCTGTCCAGACCGCCCACAAGCTCTCAGAACTTTTGAGACCACACTCAGATTTGGCACTTATTCTGGGTTTCTCCCGATCCCTTCCTCTGTGTCACAGGTTTTCGGGGTCTCAGGCGAACACCTGCCCCCCACCTGAGCCTGTGGCAGCAAACAAAATAGCAGCAGCTGAGGAGATGCAGGGGCTGGAACATGCATCCTGTGTCACTGGCACTAGAATGTGGATAAACGTTTGCATATTTGAAAAAGTAAAAACTCGAATTCAGATGCCTGGGGGCAGAGATGACGCTGTTCCTGAGTTTATCAGAGGGTCAGGGTCTATGGGGAAGAAAGCCGAGAAGCTGATGGCCAGTGAGGAGGGGCTGTGGGCCCTGCCCAGCCTGTGTTCCTCATCATTTTGGCCAGTGAGCTTGCAGGATTGTGGAGAGCCAGGCCTGCTCCTGAGTGTTCCCTCTGGGCTCCTGTGTCAGGGTCTGTCCTGGTGCCCATCCCAGCCCCTTGCCGTCTCGGTATCTGCCTGCCTGGGGAGGGGTAGGAACAGTGTCCCTTCCAGGGTGCATGGTGTGCTGAACGCTGGCCACAATCCCTGCTGTGGGCATGTAGGAACAGAAACCCCCTCAAGTCTGGGTGCTGGGTGGCCTCCAGGGCGGGGAGCTGGGGTTTGGGAAGGATGAGAGCCAGGAGAGAACCCAGACTGGCTGCCCCACAAAGCAATGGACTTCTGGGGACAAATAACACTCAGATTTCTTAATCTAGAGACCACATTTCCTTGACATACATGCTTTGAGCTCCTCAGAGAGGAGAAACTGAGGCACTACTCAGATGTAGACATCCCCAGGTGCAGCCAAAGGATGGAGGGCCCCTCAGAAAGTGGGGAGCCACAGGAGACTTTGAGAGGATTTAGAGAGCAAAGTGAGGCATGAGATTATGCATAGTCTCCTGCATGCAAGGTTTTCTTTCTTTTATTTTTTAAAATTTTATTCCCACTCTTTTTTTTAATTGATTTCCCAAGAGGTACAATGACAAAGTTTCCTCAATCATGAAAGCTTTGTAACTATCATGGTGAATTAATAAAAAATTTAAAAATATATTTCAATTTACACATCGCTATAACTGCCACGAAATTCAAGTCCAGGTGTCTAAAGACTGGAAATTCAAGGTTTGCTTATCATTGTACAATTGAAGACTGAAAATCAAGGTTAAAAATGCTTCTCTTCAAATTTCATTTTCGTAACTCGATACCAAGAACTTCCTAGAGAGAATGCAGTGAGCTGTGGCTTCCCTAGAGATAATGCAGTGTCTGATAGGACAAGGTGTTACGATGCATAGTTTGCTTCATCAAATGCTTTTCTAGCGCGTTTTATTTCTTCATTCGCATCAAGCAAGTCTTTCACCCTAGCAAACTTCCTCGGGTCCTTGCGAACCAAGAAGACAATATCTTCCACTTGGACGCGGCCTTGCACGCCGATGGACATTGCTCTGTGCGTCATTTCCGTGATGAATTCTACGACGATGTCTTCGAGAATTTCCACTGATTCTGTATAAGGATTCTGGTCATCCCCAAACGCGTACATCAGGCATCGTAATTCTTTGGAAAACAGTCCCTTTCTGCGAGCCTGCCCACCTTCAGCACCTCTTCCAGTTTCTTCGTTTTCTTCCCATAGAGTGAGGGCTTCCTCCTGCTGGGCCATAGCAGCTGCCCACCCACCTGGGTGTCAGGGCCTCAGAGTCGCTGCTTCCACTCCTTCTGCCCTCTCGCTTCCTGGAGAAGATCTTTTTGGTTGTTTTTTGGGCGGTACCTGGCAGTGCTCTGGTACACTCAGGAAGATGCTTCCAGCTCTCTTCTTCCCTGGGGACACCAGCTGTGGAAAGGTCCTGGGCAGAGCCTTTGAGTCTTGGCTTCCGAAGGGATGCAGGAACCACCAGGCCTCACTTGGATGCTCTTCTTGTGCTCAGAGGGATGCGATCATAGGGATGCTCTCTGAGGGATGCTCTTCCAGTTTTGATGGGGAAGAGCTTTTATGCAAGCCTGGAGGGTGGGTGCCAGACAGGGTGTGGCAGGACCTGCCTGGGTCACCTGGTGGGGCTAGGGCAGGGCCAGCTTTGTGTCCACACCCTGTCTGTGCCTCCAGGGAATGAAAAACTTCGACTCCTGCTGTGTGTCCTGGGAGAGACTTGCATGCTCACGGCCTGGTAATCTCACATGCCAGGACAGTCCTGAACAATCCCAGTCTCCTCTGCAGCTTCCCCTTTCTGCAGGGAGGTGGGATGTGGGGAGAGGCAAGTGACCCTGAAGAGATGTGAGAGACCCTCAGCTATTTCCTAGACCATTGTTGGAAGAGACCCAGGGCTGGGTGGGTATCCCCTCTGCTCTTTGTCACACTGTCTCTGTATGAGGGTCCCTCTGAGCAATGGTGCCCATGGTCCGGGCACAGAGAGGGACTCTGTCCCTCACATGCACATGCACATGCCCAAAAACCCAGCACAAGCTGTGGGAGTAGTTAGCACCTGACCAGACCAGGAGAGTCACACCACCACATACACACACATACATACAAACAAGAACACACACACACAGAGGAGTGATTCTTTGCAGATCCAGGACTAATCTCTGATATACATCTTGGGCATCCCCTGCTCTTGCAGACAGTTAGCAGGGCCAAAGCTTCCCCTGTAGACTGGGAACTGAATTATATGCTTTTCTCTTTCCCCTAGGGCCTTTTCAGAGTTTACTACAGAGCAGTGATCTTTGCTCAGTAAAGACAGAGAGACCATTAATGCTGTGCTACTTGTGTTTGGGAGTTGATTGGCTCTGAGATAGATCTTGGGCATCGATATAATTCCTTGACTCAGGCCTTGGTTTCTGTAGTTCGTAACACCACACAAATAGAGGTCTGCTGTGGGACTGGGTCGGACCCAAGGCGAGCAGTGAAACTATCGAGGTATCGCTTTGGCACAATTCAGAAAACATAAAAACACCATCTGGTGCAAACCATTGTGACTTAAGAGACAGGAGCCCCGTGGGAAAGGAAGGACTAAACTAGGCCTGAGGAGCTACTTGGATTTACCGTAGAAGCCCAGTAGCCTTGTCCATGGAGCCCAGAGTACTAAGTTTTGGAATCAGTATCTTTTACTGTGTTTCTCCAAATACCTGCAAGTATTAAGTAAATTTTCCAAGATTACCTCACCATATTTGATAGGGTTCAAATATGGTTTGAACCATGTGAACATCTGCAAGGGCGATTAGAGGCCACCCTAAAAGCCTCTATCACTCTCGGATAGCCTGACAACTGCCGAGAATATCCTGCCCGCATGGGAGAGTCTGGCAAGCTTTCCATGGCATATTTGATATGCCAAAACTAGTAAATACAACGGGTCTCATTCCCCTGACCCTGAAAGAGCCACCAATATGGTAGTGTAGGAAGGATGAGGATGGAGAGGCTGATAAAATCTCAAGGCCAAAGTAGGCTGGCAAAACAAGGACAAAAAAGGCTATCTGTACTTTCAATGCACGTATGCTGGCATTGGATGCATCCATCGAGGACCTGATGGTATAAGCATGAAAGATCAAGTGCATCATTGGTCTGCCCGAGATTAGAAGGCATCAATCACATCACGCCTTTTTCGACATTGGAGAAGTAACTGTTCCTCAGATCATGGACAGAATATGTGTTGGTGGTGTCAGTGTCCTTGTCAACATGAACTTGACCATGAGTATTGATTCATTCGAATGCCTAACAACCTGAATCAGACGATTACCCTTGAATAGATGTGGCTCACTGCCGGCAGTTTCTATCTTCGTTGTCAACACACCAACGTCCAATTATGATGAAGCAGAAATTGAGAAATTCTACATGGAGCCTGAGAAGTTCTAAAAAGAAGACCACACTTTCTACAAGATCACTGTTGGTGATTTTAATGCCAAGATAGGACCGAGAAGATCAGTCGAAGAACTCCACATTGGGACCCATGGCCTAGAATGGAACGAACATTCATTCGTCCTCAGTGAATGAGTTCATCATATCCACCAAGACCACCCATGGTAATTCGTTGAACATGCGATTCTTCCAGTGGATGTTTACACTATGAAATTAACTATATCATAATCAATTGATGGTTTTGCTTGACTGATCTCGCTGTTGTCCCAAAATTCCAAACGAGAGAAGACCACCGTCTCCGTGCAAAATTCTACTTCCTGGAGTGGGGAGAAATGGCTGCAAAGTTTAAGTACAGCAAGCAAAGCCTCGTTAATGTAGTCAACGATTGCCAGGTCTGACTTGCTCCGGCACTGACCCGTGTACCTCTCACTCAGATGCCGAATAGCAACGGGGCTCCAGACGGCCGGCCGGGTCTTTTGAGACATGTAGGAGAGGCCGACTGAGGCCATCTGGCCTTTGGCAACTTGGAGTTTGGGGCCTTGCAGGCATGGAACCCAGAGGTCTGGCTCACTGTGGACTGTTTCCAGCTTTGGGGTGCCCGGACCAAGACAGCCAAGCAGCTGGCATTGATTCTGGGCCCGAGCCTGAGGTGCCTTGGGCACGGGCCTTCTCAGTGCCCAGAGCTGAGCTGGTCTCAAGTGTCTGGTTCAAGGGGGCAAGAGCACACTGGGCCCCCATGCAACTGCCCGCTAGAGGGGGGAAGGGCCCGTCTCTGAGTGCAGAGTCTATGCAAGGCCTGCAGGCACCCCTGCTCACACAGAGGCTCAGACAGAGTTGAGGGACAAAGAGCACCTGGGTTTCCCCACCCAGCCCGGGTAGTCTGAAAACAAGGGCCCAAGAAAGAGCCTAGGGACTTTCAGGTCACTTCTGGGTCACCCGCCTCTCCCCCCCACACACACTCCATGCAGAAAGGGGGAACTGCAGAGGAGTCTGGGATTGTTCAGGACTATCTGAGGTTGATATTCAGAGGCCATGAGTGTGCAAGGATCTTCCAGGACACATAGAAGGAGTTGTCTTTTTTCCATTCCCTGGAGGCACAGACAGGGTGTGGACAGGTGGCTGGCCCCTCCTAGCCTGACTGACTGACCCAGCCAGGTCCTGCCACACACTGTCTGGCAACCACCCTCCAGGCTTGCATGAAAGCACTTCCCCTACCACAAGTGGAAGAGCATCCCTCTGAGAGCTCCTGCCTGTGCACATCCTTCTGAGAGGGTCTGCAGCAGAAGCAGAGTGGCCCGGCCATCCTGGACTCGCTCATCACTGAGCAGGGACAGTGACCAGGAGGAACACGAGACTCAGAAAGCTTGGGAGCTCAGGGGAATCCAGAGAGACCCAGAAGAGCTAGCTTGCACTGGGAGAAGTCAGAGAAGATGGCGCTCAGCAGATTTTTACCTGCCCCAAATCAGCTTGCTCAGGAACCGCCTGAGGATGAGGAAAAAGCACTGCGTTTCAGGGCCTCAGGGGAGCCCCTTGCCCCCTCCTGAGCCTGTGGCAGCAAAGAAAACAGCAGCAACTGAGGAGGTCAGGGGCTGGAACATGGGTCCGGGTCACAGGCACTAGAAAGTGGAGAAATGTTTGCATATTTGCAAAAGAAAAAACTAGTATTCAGATGCCCGGGGGCAGAGATAAGGCTGTCCACTGAAGTGAAGGGAGATGGCACTTAACAAAGCTGGCAAGGAGGGGGTGTGAGCAGGCAAAAGGAGCTCATCAGGCAGCCGAGCAGCGGCTTTCCCACGCGGCTCCCGGCCCATCTGCCCCAGCACCCCTCTTGGTGCAGGAGGGCCAGGCCAGGAAGCAGGTGCGTCTCCAGCCTCTGAGCACAGCGGCGCCCTCTCCCTGGAAGGGCCTCTTCCTCCATCCACTCCCACACAGGAAGGGCTTGGCTCGGGCCGGCTGCAGGGGAGGGAGGGGACTTAGTCCAATGCTTTTCAGGAAGCTTCCAGTATCATCTGGATCCTTGGAGTTTCTTGTTTTAGCCTGGTTTGGGGGCCACACTTGGAAACTCTCAGGGGCCACTCCAGGCCCTGTGATCTGGGGACCAAATGTGGTGCCAGGGGTAGAATCAGTATCACAACACACACAGTGCGAGGGCCTGGCCCCTGTACTGTCCAGCGCGCAGCCCCTCTGTCTGTCTTGCCTCACAGGAGGCCCTGGCCGTTTACCCTGTTCGACAGCCCTGCTGTGTTGGATCAGGACTCAGCTGAATTCAGTGTGACCCTGACTCGTTTACAGCTCCCAAAGTTGGCATCTACAAGTACCAGGAGTCAGGGCTTCCAGAAATGGTTTTCTTTGAGTGGAGGGACACTATGAGGCCCCAATAGCGTCAGAGGCCACGGGCAAGAGCACTTTGCCCACAGAACCCCCAGGCCTACAGTTGCAGCTACAGAGCCAGAGAACGTACTTCCTTGTGAGCTCAAAGTTTCTCCTAGTTCTCCTCGCTGAGTCTCTTTGAGCAGCTCTATGGTTTCTGACCTGTGTCAGAACCTTCAGGATAAGAAGGTTCTCTGGGCCTGGTAAATGAAAGAGTGATTTAGAGGTTATTTTATACCTCAGAAGAAGGGCGGAGGATTTGCTGTTGTATCACTGACTTCATTTCCTAAGACTCGTACTAGATTGTATTTGTCTCGACCACTCGAATCACTCTGGACACTCTCCAGGGCATCATGGGGAGGCTTTCTGAGCAAGGAGCTGTTTTGAAGCCCTGTGTACGAGGAAGCAGGTTGGACAGCCCTGGAGTGCAGCAGCGGATCCCC